ACCACAGGTTCCTAATCCTAAAAAAGAGCCCAAATAGCCAAGTGACGCATCATCTCTGACAGTTTCTGCTCAGAGAGGGACGACAAATCAGAGCCAAGTGTCAAAGCCCACTACGGCTAAAGCCGGCTAGCTAACGGCCCTCTGGTCCTTCTGGCTTTGTGGCTCATAAAGGGTCTCCAGAAAAAGGAGGCGTGTATTTGGGGGGAATCTCATTCTCCGTTTCCTTCCGTCTGCTAGCATTTCCAGTCTGCTGCCACTTAAGCGTGGCCAATTATCGTGGCCGTTTTGGCCGCTCAGAAGTGTCTGACCTAGCCCAAACGCTACTTTTTCTGCTGCCTCTTTGAAATCTCACACTCGTGCACATATGCGCCCGCTGCCATCTTCGTTTGGCAAGCGCTCTGCAGCGAGCCTCTGATCTCGGCAACATCAAAAGGCTGGTTTGTAAGATAAGGTAATGTTTGAAGTTGGTGCAGCAGCATTCCCCAGCGTCCAAGTAAATCCATAAATAAGATATAAGCAAAAAGAGAAAAAAATCCCCCCGCAACCCTCCTCCTCCCACCCCCCCCCCCCCCCCTCCCCAATCCTTCTCTTCTTGTTCTTTATCTGGGAAATGAGATTCAAATTTGCAGTGTGTCTTTTAAGCTCTACAAAAAGACAGGATGATCAAATTGCTCCCTTGAATGAGAGGTTAAGAAGCCGGAGACGAGTTCTGGGCTCTGGACGGGGAGACGTCCACGTCAAAGTCTGACCAGCAATTAGTCTGTACCGGACCTCTTGTTCTTCTGAGCGACTCACAGATCGGGGAAAAGCCACTAATGGCGCCGGCCTAGAGATGTCCCCTCTCGGGCGGTTAAAGCTTCATGCGAGAGGAGCTACCACCCCCGAAAAAATAAAAAATGAAATAATAAAAAATGAAAAAAAATCAATGCTCCACAAACTGCACCCAGGAGACTACAAGCCACCATCCCCGAAGGCTCAGGAAGAAACACAGGAAACTCTTCAAAAGTAAAACTCAACAGCCCAGAGGAGCTCCTGCGCTAACGAGAACCCCAAAGTTAGCAGCACAGAAACCCCCCCCCGCCCCCTAAAAACCCCCACATCCCTTTGCAGCTCCGCTTTTAGGCGATGCGACGCGTACCCAGCCCGGCATGCCATGTGACTGACGGCCGGGTTTTGTCCGGGTCGGGCGAGGGAGAGAGAAAAACAGCCGTGGATCTTTCACGGTTTCACGGGGCCTTACTTTATGGGGTTCTCCCATTCAGCACTGCAAGTCATTTTCAAAGCAGCCAGCCACCCTCTTATCCCGCTAAGCTCCCCTCACCTAACAATGGGCTGAAAGCGATTCAGTTAAGCCCTTTATGCTCCCTGCACTTTATTTTCTCACTCTCCGGCACTTTGGAGCCTCTGGAAGGTGAACCAGAGGAGCTGTGGACCTCGACTTTATCTATTTACCTTTCATTTTCTTTTTTAGAGCAAGGAGCAGGGGGGGTGGGGGGGTGCAAAGTTCCCTTATGTCTTGTCCCAAGTCTAGAAATGAGTAACCCCTGCGAAAGCCTCGCAGACACATGATCTCAGCGGGCCGCAGAGGCCAGTGGCAGGAAACCGACCCACCATGTGAGTAAGCCCTCTTTCATTTGGTGCCAACATTTTTTCAATGAGTTTGTCTTGAGGCCCGAACGGCCACTTCCCTCCCTCCCCACCCCTCCACCCCCCACTCCTCCACTCGCTTCTTCAAAGGGAAAAAGCGATTAGATAATACGAGAAAGGAAGAAAAAAAACAAGTCTGTTGTGGCAGAAGGGTGGGTGGGATGGATACATATCAACTTTGAGGAAAACGAGGCAACGCCCCCACCCACATCGAAACGCTCTTATTCTGTTCTCCCTTCTCTCCAGCCTGGAATAAACTTCAAAAGGTCTTCAGACATAATTACTTTCCCAGAGTTATCTCCCCCGAGGCCACGGCAACAACTGCACATTAATAGAATTACCTGGAGTCAATCATGGAGGATAATTAAAATACATTACACGTCATTATTCTTCAACAGTGCCCCCCCCCCCCCCCCCCCCCCCCCCCC